GTACGTTTCATTCTTTGCCTGCAGATCGATTTCATTGCAGAAATAATATCTGGTCTCAGGAATGCGTGTATTATTGTTTCGTATTCTCGTGTTTTCAATGATTTATTGTCATTATTTATTATCATTATTATTGCTATTATCATCTATATTTATGTCTGAATTTATATAGAGTAAGGTGGTAATTAGTTGAACATTGTGCGCACTTTTTGTCTATAGATTATTAGTTAACTTTGTTTGTCATATAATGTTATCGGAAATTCGTAAAGTTTTGGATCTTCTACGTTTATTTTATTTAGCTAATGGTTATATTTGTGCTTGTGAATAAAAAAGAAACCTATCAATTTTTTTTTTTTTTTGTAATGAAAGTAGATAGTAGAAATTAAAATCTTAGTATATGCTAATGCTAACTTGATGTGAAAAATTAATAGATAATTAATCTGTACTACGCAGGAAATTTAAATGTCATGTGGATTTTTAACCGTTTTTATAATAATTAAAAATTTTTAGAAATTATGAAGAAATTCATTATGATATAATTTATAATCAACTTAATTTTTAATTTTATTTTAATAGATTGGATTTATATATTCTTTGCAAACAAATTTTGATTATACAGTATATATTATTACTATTTCCTATTTTTAATTACTAATAATTGAATAAAAATTTGATATACTGTGTAATTTTGTTTTTTGTGTATATTTGTATTTATAATAAAAAAAAAGTTAATTTATAAATCAAATATAAAATTAAAAAAAAAATTATATTGTTTTATTAGTAAATCAATATAAATAATTTAGTTTTTAACAATTTTTTTTAAAAAAAATTATTTATCAAATTTAAATATGAGATTTTGCCTTGAAAATCATCTTATGAGAATATACAATATATATATAATTATATATATACTATATATATCCTATAAGGTTATTTCAAGACAAAATCTTATATTTTAAACTTTCTACTATATAAAATATATACTTGTGTATATAAATTTAACTACAATAACAATATTAACCTAAATAACAAGAAATAAAGTGATTAAAATTTTTTATTTGACATTTGTTTTTTGAAAATTCAAAAAAATATTTACCTAATTATTTAACCTAATTTTTTTTTTTTATGAATTATTTAATATTAAAAAAGTTTATTTAATTTTGTAATTAAGTGCTAGTTCGTGAGTGAGCGACAGTAGCATCATAGTAAAATTCGGTAAAAAATTAATATAAATTTTGATAGTAATACTGTATAAAATTTACAGCTAATACAAAGTAAATTAATTTTACTAAGCTAACCTTCTTTTCACCTCTAATAAAAGTTGTAGTGCTAATTTTTATGAATCTAATGATAGTAAGATTGTTAAACCTAACTTGGTAATTCTTAAAGTATTTTAACTTCTCCTTGTATTTACATAAAATTTCTTTGCAAATTTAAAGAAATTTTATATAAATACAAGAAAAGAAGTTAAAATATTTTAAGAACTACCCAAATAATTTTAACAATCTTACCATTATATATTCACAAAAATTAGTACTACAACTTTTATTAGAAATGGAAAGAAAGGTTAACTTAGTAAAAAAATAACTTTACTTTGTAGCAGCTGTAGGTTTCATATTAATATATTAAATTTTCACCAAATTTTACTATGAAATTACTGTCATTCACTCGCGAACTAGTACTTAATAATGTTTTAAAGTCCCCTGTTATTACGCATACTTGCATGTACAAAGTAATAGTTATCTCCTTGTTAGTTTGGTATATGCGGAATGAAATTTCCGCTTGTACACACAGTACCCAGGGTATAACTGATTTATACCCTGCAATCTTGATATAGTTACCAGGGTATAATAATGGTGTTAAACCAAGTACGTGACAAGAAAACAAAACGGTTAAAAAAATTTTTTATTAAGTATTTTGTTTCTTGAAAATTCAACAAAATTATTTTTTTCTAAAATTATTTCTTAATATATAGTATTGAGAAGAGTATTTTTGCTTTTCTTATTTTTTGTTGGCAACAGATAATTGCCAGTAAACATAAACTTCGTAAAATTTTAAGTGCAAATTTTTTACTAAGATGTGAAAAATATATTGCTAATTATTATCAAACTTAGAATATTTTAACCAGGGAAAAATATTTTAACTTAAATTAATTCATTTCGCGTAACGAGGATCGCATGGTGATAACATTTTGTGGGTGCCGGAGGGTAAGTCCTGCAAGCAGATAGTCACGTAAGCGGAAATTTTACCATGCTAAAATTGTATTATAGTTAGTATACCAACAAATAGTATCGAAATTATAGTAATATGTGAAAAAGCAATAAAAGTACCTAGTTAAAATCAGATGTTTCTTTTGATCTAGCTTGACGCCGCTGTTCTTCTAGTAATTTAGACATTGATTTTGTCTTTTTAAACCTATTTAAAATTAATTAATATTGATCAAGGAATCACAGTTACATTGAATCGTTCAAAGAATAAAAAAAAATTCCAAAAAAAATAAGGATACTGAGGGTTTGTAGGATCTATTGCGAAATGATGAGATTCGTGAAGGGCTGCGAAACGAGGATCATTGACATTAATATCGAAAGTATCTTCTTGAAAATCTTTTTTATTCTTCCTTTTTCTCTTCTTTTTTTCATTTTTGATAATCTCTTTCATATCAAAATGCTTATTTTCTTCTTCGTCATCCATAACAAGAAGCTCCAATTCGGCTCTCTTTCTATCTGCTTCGATACGCTCCTCGTTAGATATCTTTTGTTTGCGTTTCTTTGAGCTTACAAAGAATGGATCATCCAATACATTAATGGAACTATCATCGGACATTGCTGCG